TCAATTATCTATCTCTTCAATCTATCTGCCCGATCTATCTATATCTCTTCAATCGCGCTGGTTTTTCTCGCCAGGCTTATATACTAGAAAAGAGGGCGCCTCGAACAAACTGGAGTTGCCAGGAAAATTCACGATCCTTCGAGAAACTCCAGCGCTCGTGCTCCCAGCGTCGCGTGACTTCCGATGTCGTAACAGTTCGATTACTGTTTGCCAATTACTATTTTAGTGATGGGGTGCAAGGGGGCTGAGAAACCTTGTTGTAGTGAATATTGGTATGATTTAAAGAACTTAATAGATAAGCCTAAAGTAAAGGAATAGTGTGAGATAACCTAGCCTAGAGCCAACTCCATAAAGTTTATCATGAAATTAAAAAATATCGATCCAATTTTAGACTTAAATCGTTTTGAATTCAAGTCTATTCTGTTATATCACCAAAGTTTTTTAATAAAAAAAACAAACATCTTTAATCAACTGTGACTCTAAATTAAGAAATCAACAAATGTTTTTTCCTGTTTTGTAATTTATAAATTTCATTTTATACTTTCATTACATAGACATACAACAATATTAGGTTACATTTTTTCTTACTAAGCAACATTACATAAGAACCATTGTTGTAATGCATTATTATCAAAATGCACTGGCTTTTCTATATATCAAATGTTGTTATATGAGGAACCATTTCTATGTGGTTTTTCACCAACTTGCCTCATTAAAAAGATACGCACGCGCATGCATTTACGTACATGGATAAGTAATACAAAGTGCACACCCTCAGGGTCCATTTAGTATGGATGAAAAATTTGATAAGATTAAGTTATACCCAGGTGTACTTCCTCAGGGTCCACTTAGTATGGGAGCAAAATTTCAGGTTTCTAGATTCTTTCTTCTTGGAGCTATGGTGGTCACACTTCTTTTTTATGTGGTTTTTCGCTAGCTTGTCTCATTAAAAAGATGCGCATGCATGCATGCACGCATGTGGATAAGATAAGTAATACCCAGGTGCACACCCTCAGGGTCCACTTAGTATGGGGCAAAATTTCAGGTTTCTAGGTTCTTTTCTCTTAGAACTAAGGTGGTCACACTTCTTTTCTTATATTTGTTACACATACACGCACATGTGTGTCTGTCTGTCTCTGACAAATATTTCTCTAGTTTTGTAGTTTATACATTTCATTTTATACTTTCTGTACATAGACTACTAACAATATTAGGTTATACATTTGTTGCTAAGCAACATAACATAAAAGCCATTGTTGTAATGCATTGTTACCAAAATGCACTGGCTTTTCTATATATTAAATGTTGCTATATGAGGAACCATTTCTTTTCTATGTGATTTTTTGCTAACTTGTCTCATTAAAAAGATACGCACGTGCATACATTTACATAAGTGGATAAGATAAGTAATACCCAGGTGCACACCCTCAGGGTCCATTTAGTATGGATGCAAAATTTGATAAGATAAGATTTTAGTGGGCAACTCAGCTCTGTCAGAGCTGGGCAGTGCTTTATATGTGCTGATAATGATGCAAAGACAAGCTGACGAGTTTCTGATCAAAACAAGAGTGGCACATACACTGGTGGATCTCACAATCTTTCAAGCCTTTTGAATGAGTCCACTTATATGACCAGTGGATACTGGCTTTGATGTAGCAAAGACCAATATACTATATGGGTCTATAGCTTAGTCTAGGGAGTGTTGCTCACGGAATTAAGGTAGTTACTTCCAACCTCAGATTTGGAATTGACATCTTTGGAATGGATGTACTGTATAGTATATCCATCAATTTTGTCTGTGCAATGCATGAGATGATTTTCTTTGTTAAAGTCATCCATTGCCGACCAGATCAAGCCCCAAAACAGTGAACTGCACTAGTGTATGCAGCAGAGGGAATGATAGTATCTCCATGTAATTTTTGGTGTTTTCTGAGTTAAATTGGATGGAGCATAATGCATCTGTGCCATTTAACATAATTATAAATGCCAAACATGAGAAAACTATTTCTTGTCCACAAAGCAACCAACATTGTCTAGGACCGTCATCTGTCCCAACATTGCTTTGCAACTATGGCAAGCAAAGTGGAAGTAGCCAATGCTAGTAATAGTGCTAGGGCTGCATCTGTTCTACAACATGAAAAACAATTATGAAGCAACCAACACACCTGAGATCATTCGACTTGAGAACTTTAATGACCAAACACTGTGAAAGAAATTCAGTGATTTGTTGGGAAGTATACTCATGTGTTTGTGAGACCAGACGACATTATTTTAGATGGGTGAAAATGGCAACTCTTGTTGGAGCCTTTCTTTTACCATGAACAGATTAATGTCTGAATACGTAAAAAGGTTCCCTGTGGTTCTAAAGTATGGTTCTAGTATCCATATACTGTCAGGTTTAAATGGGAAATGAAAGCAAGACTTCTTATGTAACTTCCATGTCATGCCAATCAGTTTGTGTGATGCACCAGCTGTGAACGGGAAATGAGAAATTTGCGGTTTTCTCACTTTTTCATCATATTACCGACGATTTGTGGTAAATTTCTCAAAGATAGCAGTACCATTGTCAACTTTCAAAAATAGTGTTTGTTTCTTTTTGAATTTAGGGTAATTATGCTAGTCATCCCTAATATAGCAGTGACAGAATAGAGGGAAGAATAGTCAACATCATCCACCACCAACTCCTTGGCTACTCTTTTATCAATAAATAGTAGGATTGACCATCACATTATAGTGCCCCATAACTGAAAGGGAAAGTATATTCAATGACAGTGATTCGAACCTGTGATCCACAAATTACGAGTCAAGTACCGTAAACACCGGCAATGCCAGACTTTCAAGAAAGAGGAAATTCACTTCATGGCGTTTTGAATGTATCAGGCAGTCTGGTTCTTAAAGCTTGCTTTGGTGGATGTTCCAATGCTAACCTATCCATGCCGAGACTATGAGTTCCTATTGGACACCAACAACAGTGACAATTGAGTCAGAGCAATGCTATTAAAGTGGCAGGATGGAGTAGAATGTATAGTCATGCACAATAGTCATACATTCATGGGTCCTGAACACAGTTACTATATGGCAAAGAATGAGCTGCTGGCAATGATTTTCTTTGTAAAACACTATTGCTACTACTTGTATGATAGAAAGTTCACCATTTGGGTAGACAATGCTTTCTTAAAGTGGTTAATAAACTTTAAAAGCCTGGAAAGGATGAGAGCGTGTTGGATAACAATGTTGCAAGAATATGATTTGTCGTAGTTCATTGTCACGACTCATAACCTGGAAACACAGATGAAATATTTCACAACAAGGTGAGACCTTGTCCATTCGCGGAATGTCCTGACACTGGACACTGTGTGAAAATTAAAAACTATGGCCATTTCAGCCATACTGAATACAAAGCATAAAGTAGAATATTCCACTGGTGGGTGGAAACCAAAGATAATGCTTCAGAAGCTCTGGAATGAGCAACTGAATGATCCTGACCTAGCATGGATTATCCTTGTTGTTCAAAAATCATAGAAGGTAATG